ATTGCTCTGGTAGCATTGTATTAACAACATGCTGTTTACATGAACATTACTGGGGTGATGAGCTTATTCACACAAACCTCATGATATCTCGTTTAGGGTGCCGTAAGATTGTTTTTCTTTAAATGGTGTTCAATTCTCTACCTTCATCGCATTCACTTGTTTCCTAACCCGAGTAACTATATTATCTGGAAGAAGGGGAAACGATGACGGTTGAATGCATGGAAGACTATTCGAGGGGAAAAATAAGTCTCGCGGCTCTCTCGTACTGAACGAGATTTTGGCGGCCATTTGCAAATTAGGTATTATTAAAGGAAAAAAGGAGACATACTTTGGATGTAATGTAAACTATAAACATTATTGCAGTACGTACATTTGTATACATATACTTGAATTCCTTAAAACGCAACGTGATGAATCGTGTACGCAGTTGGGAGCTTTCGATTTTATTTGTTTTTATCTAGTCGTGCAACGGAAATGGCTTTCAATGATATATGTCATCACGACGAAAGTACACTGAGCACAGAGCCCTGATATACCCCCGCACCCATATCTATACACAGCACTGACATAATTGCACAAACCTTTATTCGTGGTCGCCATGATAAGTCTCAACAGCGATGCTTACGGTGATTAACTACGGCGATAAAACAAGAGAGTCATGACGAGATTGAAAACATTAAATAACCTTCATCGACGAAACGAATTACGGATTAGAATTACGCGTGGAAAATGACACAGTGACGGCCGTTCTTTCTTTGACTGACATTCTCTCTCTCTTATAAACATACTCTTACTAAAAGCAAATTATTTTCTTTCTAGGTAATGGATGGTCTGATTATTTTTTCATCATACAAAAACAAACTTTATTTTCTCTATTTCAGCTTCATGGCGTAAAGTACCAATGTGATGACGCGTGGGAATGTGTGTTTCTGTCGGTATTCTCCGCAGAACATTGTAAATTGATCAGCATTGCCGACGACACTTAAAAAGGGCCAGCAACGCGAGGTCGTCGCGAAACACACATGCCATTCATGGAATTATTTCATTTGCTGTTTGTGTAAAAATACGACATGAAATATAAGTTTAAATAATACGCGTGTGTTTGTAATCTCATTATACTGTCAATAGCCAATTTAAAAAAAATCGAAATGATGATTACTGGAGGCATTTGTCTGTGCTGAGAGTGAATAATTTAAGTCAAAGTGAATAATATGCATGATCTGACCCCTTGTCAACACAATAACTGTTTACAAAATGTTGACATATCTTATAGTTGGTGGTTTTTCATATATGGTAATGATTATGCTGATCAGAGCAAAATACATAATATCTTAAACAAAACCACACCAAGTTATTAAGTAACCAAGTGTTCAAAATAGAAAATAACTGTGATTTATTATTTTTGTTTTCAAATTATTATTAGTATTATTAAACCAACAAAATGTATAAATACGAGTTTGAAAGAAAATAAGCAATCCACTAGCAATTGCGTAATCTAACTGTGATATAATCTGTATTCAAAGTCCACCTTGAATTCGTTCAGCGTGGCGCCGAATCATGCACTGAATAGTAATCGACCATTATTGGGATTTTTAATTACGTAGATACACTATAATTTCAAACTTGACGCCTGCCCTAGTTGTTTCGTTATTACGTGATGTTTGCGTTGTGAATTATTAGCCGTAAAATCCCGATCCATAAAACAAACGATTCAATTAAATCAATGGATTCGATATCACGTGTATAATATACCGCTTACTGTGTGTTTTCAGCGTTATCAAAGGTACCCGCAGCACAGTACTTATAATTATATACATACGTATACATCATAAAACAATCAACAGTATTCCTCTCACAAAAGACCGGCACTCGAGGCCAACCATGTTGACAAGGAATCCTACTTCTGTGTTTCCACATATGCAGGTGATTAAACAACGTGTATGTGACACTAAACGGCATGTCCGCGTCTCATTTTCTAAAAATCTAAAAATTGAATACCCCATCCGTAACATCAGAAATAAACATCTTTAATCATGAGTTAGTTGACACTCAGTGCATTGTTCGTGTTTTACATTTTTGTACTTAACGGAGTATTGTTGATGGAATGTGTCGGTCAAACATCAACAAATATAAGTACATTTGAGTGTACGTTTAATGTTTTTAGTGCTTTAAGCTTGCAATCATAGCTGAATCCGATTATCAAATTGAAAAGCGTTTTGCGATAAGCAAAGTGAACACACTGTTCTAACCAGGTCAACACACTGCCCTGCAACAGCTTGCTTTTACCGCATGGCTAAGGGAGCTTCGATTACGTCGACGTCCGCTTAAGGGGTCGCGAAGTTGGCGCTCTCAGGCTGATTCTGTTCAGGATTTGAACCATTCACTGTTCAGCTACCTTGTATCTGATGGGATGTCAACTTGTGTTCGGGTTGTACTGATGAGTTACACGTTGGTTTTTTTGCAGGTTTGCCGCATTTGGAATAGCATCGTCCCGAATCTAAATGTTGATTTCATCGAGTAGACGGAAACGGAATGGTGCCATTTTGGAACCCAGAAACGGTACAAGCTTTGCGTTTGACACTGTTAGCTGCGTTACTGTTATGGACATACACGGGCGCTGTAGGTGCTGTATCAGGAAATCCGGTACACCAAGCAAGTGTAGATAGCGGCGATGCCGAATCGCCGACGGTGCTTCTACTGGGAGCGATGTTAACAGATCCCAAACATAAACACGTGATTGAGAAAACAATTGACACACTGCAGGCCAACATGTCGAGCCTTTCGAACGTTAAAATAGAGATCATGGACGAGTACATAAACCTCACCGAGCATTTGAACGTCATTCACACCATCTGTCAGAAAATGATACCAAAAGGAATTACTGCGCTGATCTCGGCGATTGAAGGGGAAAATTACGTGGATGTTCATATTGCGACAGGATTTGTGTCTATGATTTCACAGTATATCAACCTGCCAGTGATAAGTATTAACCAGGCTACAGTAACAAAGCTAGACGCGCACGCGTCGAAGGTGAGTTAACGAGTCGCTAAATACCAAGTCCATTAGAAACTTCCGTAACGGAATTCAAATATCATTTGTTCACTGTCGAAAGAACATTTTGGCTCGTTCAAATGACGTGGTAGATTACTAAAGCATTTTCTAACATAATGATTATTTTAATTGCAATACAAATAACGGAAGTTGTTCTTTTTGGAAAACATATAAATTAATGGCATACGGCATATATACACGTCATTGTGGATTGTTTAAAAAAATATATAACTCCACGCGTTTGCATCCCACTCTTTACAATCTTACTAAGACATTTGGTTGCGAAATCCTCAACGTAAGCCTCATGAATATTGTTACACAAGTCATGATATCAAAGAAGTATCTAATAGCTCTGGTGATTGTTCAGTAACATTTTTTGTGTGATTAGGAAATCATTGTCAGTCGTATTAATCGTGCGTGGAATAATCGATTCGAAAACGTATTGCAGTAGCATTGTCTAACATCCCTCAGTATGCCTGGCACGAGTGAAAAATACAAATACTTTTTTTTTGCTGTGTGCACTGAGCTGCCCCAATTTAGTATGTTATATATGTGCGACTCCTTGATGTCGACAGAGGAAGCGGTTTTTACAGTGATTTACATGCTAGTATTATATATCTGTAAATGTACAAATAGATTTTAAACATGGCGCAGAATTTCTCATCGATTTAGTAATATATATTTGGTAAACCCAATAAAGTGCGCATACGACATCGATCACATATTATCACGACTCATGAATAATAATAAACAGGTTTTCTATATATTCGAATTTTTTTTTTATTTTATTCTGACAGTGTTTTTACACATGCCTGTGTTTTTGTTTTGTTTTTATTCTACGCAAGCAATCATTATTTATTAGGTTGTTCAGATGTGTCATTTTACTGACACATAAAAATAGCATCACGTAACACCTACTATTCGCTGCAAGTATAGATGTCGATATTCCGTATCTTCGATTGCCTTGTGAGTTGATATACATTGCAAACAGAGGCCGCCTGGAGGCCATAATGCTAAAACATGTGTATTTCAATCCTAGTGAATATTAACAAATTGGCACAGCGGCTTCTTCCATTTCTGCGGATTTGTGTCAGAAACATCTCGATCAAGTCTTGTTTAGGCCGTTAGCCTTTTTTACCCCGACTGGAAAAGGTGGTAGCGTCAGAATCGATGCGAATTGAAAGATAACATCGAAACTCAGATTATTTAAAACATTCCCATTTAGATTATTGAGGCGATTAGATTCATGTTCCCACAAGCGGCCATTTTGAAGCAAGCACTTTACGAAAAATTCACACAGAGGCATTTGGGTAATTCCGTATGCCATATGCATCAGCGTCGAGTATTCACCAATAGATTCTCTCTACTTTAGAGAGCCATTTGGGGATTTCATATTCGTAATTTACCAGAGATAGCGGATTTCAGTCAGTGGTCATTAAACAATGATGCGATATAGAAGAGGTAACCAATGTAACCGGAAACGGAAGAGATTGATTGATCTATAATTATGTTTCACATATTTCAATCATCCGGAAGTCATAAAAAGCTCTTTCCGCGTGATAGGCTCTGGTGTTGAGCATG